AATGTCAGTGTTGCAATGTTTGTACTGTACCACGACCACAATGTCAATGTTGCAATGTTTGTACAGCACCACGACCACAATGTCAATGTTGCAATGTTTGTACTGTACCACGACCACAATGTCAATGTTGCAATGTTTGTACTGTACCACGACCACAATGTCAATGTTGCAATGTTTGTACTGTACCACGACCACAATGTCAATGTTGCAATGTTTGTACTGCACCACGACCACAATGTCAGTGTTACAATGTTTGTACTGCACCACGACCACAATGTCAATGTTGCAATGTTTGTACAATGCCACGACCACAATGTCAGTGTTACAATGTTTTAATGTACCACGACCACAATGTCAGTGTTGCAATGTTTGTAATGTACCACGACCACAAAGTCAATGTTGCAATGTTAGTAATGTACCACGACCACAATGTCAATGTTAGTACTGTGCCACGACCACTACTATGTCAGTGTAGCGTGTTGGTGTAAATACTAACTAGCCCCAAGGAGCTTCTTCACTCACAAGACCACACAGTACACACACCACACCGGGAGGACTACACAGTACACACACACACACACACACACCAGGGGACACACACCACACTACACAAGTACACACACACACACACCGGGACGGACTACACACACACACATACACCGGGAGGGACTACACAGCACACACACACACACACCGGGGGACTACACGGTACACACACACCAGGGAGGGACTTCACAGCACACACACAACCAGGGAGGGGACTCACACACACACACCAGGAGGGACTACACAGCACACACACACACACACCGAGGGACTCACAGTACACACACACACACACCGGGACGGACTACACACACACACACACACACCGGGAGGACTACACACACACACACACACACACACGGGAGGACACAGTACACACACACACACCGGGAGGGTACACACACACACACACACACACACCGGGAGGGGACTACACAGTACACACACACACACCGGGAGGATTTCACACACACACACACACACCGGGGACTACAGACTAACACACGGAGGACTTCAAGCCACACACACAACCGGGAGGACTACACACACACACACACCAGGAGGACTCACACACACACACGGAGGGACACACAGCACACACACACACACACCGGGAGACTACAGTACACACACACAGGGGGAACTACACAGTACACACACACACACAACGGAGGGACTACACGGTACACACACACCGGGAGGGACTACACAGTACACACACACACACAACCGGGAGGACTACACGTACACACACACACCAGGAGAGACTACACAGTACACACCACCACACACACACACACACACACACACACAGGACACACAGGGACTACACACACACACACACACCGGGAGGGGATACACACTGTACACACACACCGGGAGGGCACACAGCAACACCAGGGAGGGACTACACACACACACACACCGGGAGGGACTACAGTACACACACACACCGGGAGGGACTACACAGTACACACACACACACACCGGGAGGACTACGCAGTATACACACACAGGGACTACACAGTACACACACACACACACACACCGAGAGAGACACACACACACACACACACCGGGAGGACACACAGCACACACACACACACACCGGGAGGACTCTACACACACACACCACCGGGAGGGACAGTACACACACACACCGGAGGGACCACAGCACACACACACACCGGGAGGTTACACACACACACACACACCGGGAGGACTACACAGTACACACACCGGGAGGACTACCACACCAGGAGGACTACACACACACACACCGACTACACAGTACACACACACACCGGGAGGGACTACACAGTACACACACACACCGGAGGGACTACACCAGTACACACACACACACACCGGGAGGTTACTACACACAGTTACACAGTAACACACACCGGGAGGACTACACAGCACACACACACCGGGAGGACCACACAGCACACACTAACACACCGGAGGGACCCACACACACACACACGCACCGAGGACTACACAGCACACACACACACACACAGGAGGACTACAGTACACACACACACACACACCAGGAGGGACTACACAGTACACACACACACGGGGAGGACTACACAGTACACACACACACACGGGGGGACTACACACACACACACACACCGGGAGGGACTGCACTACACACTACACACACACACGGGAGGACTACACAGCACACACCACACACACGGGGACTACACGTACACACACCGGGAGAGGACTACACAGTACACACACACATCGGGAGGACTACACAACACACACACACACACCGGGAGGACTACACGGTACACACACACCGGGAGGGACTACACAGTACACACACACATCGGGAGGACTACAAACGTGTTCACTACCACACTAGAAACACTACGTCCAGTCCTGTCACACACACACACACACACACACACACAGGGTGTAGGTCAGGCTGGTGGGCTGCTGCACAGCGTCACGTCAACTGTGTGGGTCAGGCGTCACGTCCTGGGCATCGTCAATCAGGCGTCACGTCAACCGTGGGTCAGGGCGTCACGTCACTGTGGTGGGTCAGGTCGTCACGTCAACAGTGGTGGGTCAGGCGTCACGTCAACAGTGGTGGGTCAGGGCGTCGTCAACAGTGGTGGGTCAGGGCGTCACGTCAACTGTGGTGGGTCAGGTCGTCACGTCAACAGTGGTGGGCCAGGTCGTCACGTCAACAGTGGTGGGTTAGGTCGTCACTTCAACAGTTGTGGGTCAGGTCAGTGTGTGTGTCCTTCCGGCCGCACTGTTTGTAAACTTTGTGGTCAACCCGACTCTCACATCATCACTTGCCCTATGACCTCCTCCTACAGGTCTCCAGCCGTCCCTCCCTGACCAGATATCCCTCCTCCTAGAGAGGGGCCTGGCACTAGGGACCTGCCACTCTTTACCATAAACAGATGAATTGTACCGGGAACTCCCCCCTGCACACTCAACATTTTGTCACTTTATGTTACTTGCTGATAAAAACCGACGACCCTTTAGGCATTTACGCTCGTAGCATGCGTCATGAAGGCAAGCATGAATTCCAACACACAGGAGAGACCTTCCCACTTATGAGCGGAGTCCCTCAGGGCAGCGTCCTCTCCCCCACAAGTGACACTCCGCCTCCCACTAGAATAGGAAACGAAGATATTATGCATGCAGATGACATCACTCAAATAACAACACATCAAGGAAAATCACCAGCGTTACAGTGATCCCCTTATGTAGAAGGAAAGCCCATCCATTAGTAACCAATAATGCCCAGATAGAATACAAAAGCAGAGGCACCCTCCTGGGCCTGCATATATCCACGACAGGTTACTCCCATCATGTCCACAGCAGGAAGGAAAAGGCAAGAAGAGAGCTGAGAAAAGTATACCGCTTTAAAGCGCTTCCTCAGAACATAAAACTGCGCCTGGTGACATCGTTTATCATACCGATATTAACTTACCCAGCAGTTCCTCTTCATACTATGAGCACCACTCGATTATTAAAATTACAGGTGGTCCAAAATGAAGCCCTAAGATTCGTCTCAGGTGAAAGATACCCCTTCACCAGAACCACAGCCGAGATACATAGAGACCTGAGAATGAATTCCATCAACCGGCAGCTGCACACCCTGGCCAGCAGAGTCTGGCAAAAGATAGAACGATCAGAGCAAGAACTCCTTCAAAGACTCCCACCAGACAACAACAACCATAAATGGTTCCCAAAAAGTTACCAAATCTCAAAAGGTCCATTACCACCCCAGATCTACACGGCCAGGCAATAGACAACCTCCCTAGACCAGCATCCGCCAGTAGGGTCGGCAGCATATGAAATAAGGCCCTTAAAACACCCATATATGGGACAGGGTAGGATGTCTAGTGCCTGTACCGACAGACAATAACTAACCCATGACACAACCCTTACACACTATTAGCTTAGCTAGGCGGTCAGCCCGCCCTCTCTTACCTCCTCCTAAATTTCTTTCGTTCCCTCCTTTCTCTGAAAAAAAAGAACTCCGCATGCTTCCCAGATGAGCGCTGTAAACGCTTTTGCGCTTCACCATGCACAGGATGCGATGGGGTGCCCAATAAACTAGCTCCATCGTGGGACAAACCTGAATCTGACTCTTCAGTGTGTTTGTCCGTCCTCCAGCGGGATGTGTGTCCTAGGATTAGTCACATTGATCGTCAGGTCCAGGCAGGGTTGATGTTAAGGATGTAACTTAAGATTGTTGAACCATCCTAGACAATTCCTTACAAGGGGACGTGTTGTAACAACTGCTGTGTTCAGTGTTTTATTTTGTGTACTGCTCGGCGGTAATTGTACCTCACTCTTATAACTGGTTAACGTTACAGTATTTATATTGTACCTCGAAGAGACGGTAGGACGAGTTAATAATGTTGAATACATAATAAAGTTATCCAATCACTGGCCTTGGATCTGTGACGTCATTGGAAAATATACAGTCCTCCCACCTAGGTCTGTGCAGTCATAGAAAAGTTAACCAATCCAGGGCCTTGACTGTTACGTCATTTGAATAATAGCCAATCGTGTATTTCTGTTTTGTGACGTATGACTATGACGTGTGGGGACGGGTTTGTGTGGTGGGTGAAGGTGTACAGTACGTGACAAATAAGACATTTTATTTTTCCATGTATAGTTTATTGTTTTATCTGATTTACTATATTTTATTTCCGTTAGCCCACGGAGACTATGACGTGTCAGATAAAAGTTTGTTTTGTTATTGAGTTTTGAATATTTTGGGACAATGTGTTGTGTGTGGGTGGTGTTATACAACGACCACCACGACTACTGGCGTTGTTGTCGCAGGTGCGCGGTGTAGCAACACTTGCCCTGGCGTTGTTGTTATAGGTGCGTGCTGGTGCCGCTCTCGCTTTGGTCTATCCTTTTCTCTATCTGTGTCTCTTCTCTCCTCTCGTCCACAGCTCCAACAGAGTCTACTCTACCACCAGTTCCAACAGGAGCACCAGCGCCTCCTGGAACAACACCAAAATGAACTACACAGCCACCTCAAGGTTAGTTGTGACCCACACACCGCACAGGACGGACTCCGCGACTCCCCCTCCCTCCCAGTACTAACCCCCTATTTCCGTGTCACCTCATGTTGTATTACCCCCCCCCCTCTATTTCTGCGCCACCCTTTACTATAGCAAATTGCCCTCTGTCTCCCTCGCTCCACATCCCACTATTTCTGCGTCACCCTGTGCATAATAACTACTTCCTTCCCTCACCCTATCACTACATCCACGTTCACGTGTTATAAACTTTACCTCCCCGTCCCCCACCGTCACCTACCCGTCCCCCACCCGTCACCTCCTGTCCCCACCCGTCCCCAAGATTTACGCGTCACCCCAACTTCTCCCCGCCCCACCTTCCCAATTTTATTAATAGAGGAGGTATCCCGACACCTGTACGAAGTTAACTTAACCCCTCTTATATGTGTTTATAATGGCTGATGGGGAGCACGACATGATTAATTAAACTAAGTCAACCAATCAGAGTGCCGTCCACATATCTGAGGGTTGGCGACCACAGTCCTCCACTCTAAAAGTTCCCAGACTGTTTGTACCAATTCTCTTGAGAGTTTCCATTTATTTCCCTTATATTATACCAGGGAAAATTGACCTCACGATACAGTCATCCCAACTTTCTCTATGTTATTATATGGGGATTAATTTTACAGCAGAACCAATGTTATCTCTTCCTTTACCTGAAAGACAACAGATGCACTCGAAGAAAGTGGACTGTGAGACACTTCCTATCAGCGTTCATGATAGAGGCTCGTGTTGCTGTAAACCCCCTCTCTCCCTCCCCCCCTCCCCCCCACTCCTCCGACCCCACCTTACATTTCCAAAGTAATAAAGGTACACTAAGCCGTCCTTAACATAGTAATATACTGTATCTCTCTTTAATAGAAAACCCACATCACTATTACCCCCAACTAAACTAAAATTTCTACCGTATTTTGTGTTGTGGTTGTAGCTGTTTATTGTTGGTGTGTGTGTGTGTGTGTGTGTAATAATAATAATAATAATAATAATAATAATAATTAACGGTTTATTGAAAGAGCTTGGCAGCCAGAAGGTTGAAAATATACAGTTACATATTTGGGGAATGGGTTTCGAATTACAAATAATATACAAGTAACATAAGTGATACAAATAAGATATATAATAACTAGATGGGGAAAAGCTCAAACTACAGTGCATTTCAACATAGTGACAGTGCAAGAAGTAGTATTTACTGGGAGTGAATACACTGTTTTATTACAAGTTATTGATAATTTTTACAATGGTTGGGACTGGGCTGTTCTTATAGCGATCAGTTCGTGCACGTATGGGCTGGATGCGGTTGTGGTGTCGAACAGCAATTCTCAGGCTAGGGATCTCAGGTGGTAGTAAGAGCCGGTGTCGAGGATGGTGTAGTAGCTTCTCACCAAATTTGCAGATGAGGTCGTGGTGATGGTCAGTGAGAGTCGAAAGGGTCAGTGTGTTGAGCACTTCTTGATATGTGGAGTAGGAAGGGAGAGAATAATCTTGTATGCTCTCTTTTGCACTTTTTCTAGGTGTTTACGTTGTGTGGCATTTAGGGAGGAAGACCAGGTAGGGGAGGCATAGGTGAGCTTGGGAAGTATGAATGTTGAGAAAACACTGAGGAGCTCGGGTGCAGGAACTCCGAGGGACTTGAGTCGGCGTAGGAGGAGACGCGGAAACTGGAGGATTTGGACAACTTCACTGACGTGTTTCCACCGAAGCTTGTTGTCTGGTGACGCTGGAGGAGCTTTGAATCTACAACCTGGAGCGTTCGGACCTAAAGTAATGGAATAGAGGTGGACAATGTCGGAGGAGAGGTTGATGCATAAACTGGCGAGTCTGGTGGCGAAGTTGATGGTGACGCGTTGTTGGTGGCCCAGTTTGAGAGACTGTTCAATAAATCCTGATGGGCGTATAGTCGAGTGAATTGTTGACGCTGATCCCAATGGTGGAGTCGTCGACATATTTCCAGCGAGCAGGGGTTTCTCTTAGGGCATTATTGATAAGCATAAGGAAGCAGAGTGGTCCCATCTTAGTGCCTTGGGGGACGCCACAGGTGAGTGACTGAAAGGTGGAGACAGCCCCTCGGAAGCGTACAGCTTGGCGTCGGTGTGTGTGTGTGTTTTCCTCACAACCCGTAAATAATGGTTAACGTGGGCTGGTCTAAGCAGGTTATATTACTGACGTCCCTGCTGGCTGGGACGAACACCCATTGTTGTTGTTTTCTTCCACTAACCTCAGCCAAGCAGATATTGTTTGTTTGTATTTGTTATGGTCATCGGTGTGTTGGACGATATTAGCGGAGGGAATTTGTGCTATGACCTGAAGATTAGACCCCCAGCTTGTTTCACTGTGAGATTAACCACTGTAACCTAACCTAACGCTAACCTAACCTAACCACTGTAACCTAACCTAACTCTCCCAGGTAACTTAAGAGTGTTTAATCATCAGGTGAAATAAATTAAAGGTGATAATCTTCAGGTGAGTCAATAATTTAATTAAGAAATACACAGAAAAAAATATTAAATACTCGTTTTTATCCACTTGGCATATTTATAGGTAATGGATTATATGAATGTCTTAGTATTAACGACAGTAATAAGTTGAGTTAAAGGAACCGACATACTAACGTTTTTACTGTCGGCAGGATCACAACATTACCTGGCCGTAGTTGGCGCAGTGTAGGTAGCCAAGGTACTGTGCTTGTGAGGTAGTAGAAAGGCGGTGGGAAACTTGTTATAAGTGTATCTGGTAATATTTCTCAAATTGACTGTTATCATCATCGTCATAATCATCATCGTCATCATCATCATTATCGTCACCATCGTCATTTTCATCGTCATTTTCATCAAAGGTAAAACCACGCCTAGATGCTGAGACTTGAATCTACAATACACACTAGAATCTGCAATGTGTCTATAGTGTGGTTCCAGGCCAGAGCAACACGCCCTCTACTGGTGGTTCTCGGGGAAGTTATTGTGTTACTGTAGTGAAGGTTCCTTGGTATTGTTATTATTCTTGTTATGGTTGTTATTATTATTGTTATGGGACTATTATTATTTGAAGACTCTAACAGGTGGCCGTAGGTGTGGTAATTGCCGCAGTTATCTAGTATAGTAGTGCGGGTGTTGTAGATAACAGCAACACTATACTGGGGACAGGTATAGTGGTGCCAGGTGAAGGACAGCTGTTAGATATTGAAGTACTGGCTGATGAAGTACTGCCCTCGTGGTGTGGCGGGTGAAGTACTGCCCTCGTGATGTGGCTGGTGAAGTACTGGAGGTAAGAGGAAGGCCGGCCCAAGGGCCACCTAAGCGTGAATTTGTTTAAGGTGTAGAAGCTGTCGCCAACACAACAACCACACCCTGAGTTAACGAGTTGTATTAAGGAATAGTCCGCAAATCGATTAACATCCAGGTCCCCAATTACTGCTGGGTAGACAGGCAAATGGCGTAAAGAAACTTGTCCATGGTTTCACACTGCCTGAGGATCGAACTCCGGTCGGTCCGCTCTCTTGCGAGGCGATGATGCTGACTATTACACCACAGTCCATAGGTCACCACATACATACATACATACATGCATACATACATACATACATACATACATACATACATGCATACATACATACATACATACACATGTACACTCGCACCAAAAAGTATCGGTGCAGGGTGAGATCGACGAGTTTCGAAACGATACGTATACACTGTGATATATCGGGAAGGTTGGTAAGTATATCCTCATGACCACTAGGTGTTGCCATATGGCTGACAATCAGGGCTGCCAACATACGGCTGGAACCACTCGCCTTTCCCAATACCTATCGTCACTGGTCTCAAATTGTTCACACTACAGTATGCACCGATACTTTTTGTTGCAAGTGTACATACATGCATACATACATACATATAATCAACTACCTCACCAGCCAGGACTCGAACCCTCGACCTACTGCATGGGACTAGGGAACGTTACCGACCATACCCCAAGTGCTCTTGTGGTATGGTCGGTAACGTTCCCTACTCCCATGCAGTAGGTCGCCAATCAGTCATTACCTTTAGTAATAATAAGATAGGATCACAGATACGGGCAGATAATTGCACTTACATTTTTTTGTCAAGTTTCCATACAATGATTTACAATTTGCATGGATATATGATTCACTCGCATTCACGCTGTAATAAAATTAATCTTCTAAAAGAGGGAGTTTTCAACTTGGGGACACATGTGATTACTCTACTATGGGTATGACTTAACAGAGCCTTAATTCTTCAAGTGATACATTTACTGCCAGCCTGGATTGCTCTTGTTGCAACAAGCTTCCACACAAGAAATTCTTTCCACAGGCAATAGCAACAAAAAGGTACTCTTGGGTTACCACACATAGTCTCGCGTCACTGACAGTCACTGTAGATGGTTGTCGCAGCCAGGAGAACTGGTAAGCGTGACTTGAATTAACCACTTAGGTGCAATAGACCAGCTTGGATTGCTTTTGTCGCAACCAGGCTTCCATACGTGATATTTCCACAGGGATAACAAACCTAGGTTAACACACTTAGTCTCGTGTCGATCACGGTCACTGTAGACGGGTGTCGTGCAGGAGAACTCTGTAAGCGTGAATTTATTAACCATTTACTGTAGGTTTGATAGGCCAGCCCTGATTGCTCTTGTTGCAACCAGGCATCCACACGTGATATTTCCACGGGGATAACAACCTAGGTTAACACGCTTAATCCCGTGTCGACGACGGTCCACAGGACAGGGTGGTGGTTGAGGACTCTGTGTGGTGTCCCGCTCCCTTCAGGAGGGAGAGGACGGAGACGTCTTGGCTAACCCATGGCCAAGGGGATACTACTTAAAATGAGGTTTTTGGGTGTCAGGTGACGAACAGTACAACACTGTCTCACTGCCCCCCCCCCCACCCTAAAGGCTGGCTAACATACCACTAATGGAAAATACATGTCCCAGTTATGCCTCGCCTGGTGCCTTATCTCTAGTAAAACAAACTTTGGAATTGGTTGCGTGGGTAAGCCAAACGCAACCCATGACATTATTATTATTATTATTATTATTATTATTATTATTATTATTATTATTATTATTATTATTATTGTTATTATTGGTAGTAGTAGTATTATGTGGATATACAAGTATTGGACAAGTTGTACAAAAGGTTGGTTGACTTTGTCGTTGTGTTTCAGTTGATGTAGAGACTAACACACACACACACACACACACACACACACACACACAAAAACACACACACACACACACACGTACAAGCTATATAACTGGAGGAGTGTAAGTATATGGTGGTAATGTAATGCAGATAACCTGTGTGTGTGTGTGTGTGTGGTGTGTCCAGGATTAGGCAAGATAAAGGAGCCAGACTCTCCCCGCCCCCCGTGACCACTGTATCTTGAGGGCTAACTGCTAGCTTTGAGGGTCAGCTGTACCTTGAGGTGTAGTGATGGTCAGTGTACCTGAGGTGCAGCTGAGGGTCAGCTGTACCTTGACGTGTAGCTTTGAGGGCAGCTGTACCTTGAGGTGTAGCTTTGAGGATCAGCTGTACCTTGACGTGTAGCTTTGATGGTCAGCTGTACCTTGACGTAGCTTTGAGGATCAGCTGTACCTGACATGTAGCTTTGATAGTCAGCTGTACCTGACGTGAGTTTGATGGTCAGTGTACCTTGAATGTACCTTTGATGGTCAGCTGTACCTGACGTGTTGCTTGAGGGTCAGCTGCCTTGAGGTGTAGCTTGAGGTCAGCTGTACCTTGAGGTGTAGCTTGAGGTCAGCTGTACCTTGAGGTGTAGCTTTGAGGTCAGCTGTACCTTGAGTGTAGCTGAGGGTTGGGCTGTACCTTGAGTAGCTTTAGGACGGCTTCCACTTGGGGGCTCAGTGCACTGTGTTCGCTGCACCGTGAGGGTTACTGGTTTAATGTACAGTAGAGGCAGTGTACTGTAGAGGCAGTGTACAGTAGAGGCAGTGTACTGTAGAGGCAGTGTACAGGAGCTAGTGTACAGTAGAGGCAGGTCCAGTAAAGGCAGTGTACTGTAGGAGGCAGGCTGGTAGGAGGGCAGGTACTGTAGAGGCAGTGTACAGAGCAGTAGAGGCAGTGTACAGTAGAGGCACTGTAGAGGCAGGTACAGAGGCAGGTACTGTAGGAGGCAGTACAGAGCTATTAGTGTACAGCAGAGGCAGTGTACAGAGGCAGGTACTGTAGAGGCAGCAGAGCAAGTAGAGGCAGTGTGGCACAGAGCTTTGGGTAGTAGAGGTAGTGTACAGAGCTAGTAGTGTACAGTAGAGGCAGTGTACAGAGCTGGTGAGTGCAGTAGAGGTAGAGATAGTAGTGTACGTAGAGGCAGGTACAGAGCTAGTAGTGTACTGTATGTGCAGATGTACAGTAGAGGCAGTGTACAGAGCTAGTAGTGTACTGTAGTAGACGTACAGTAGAGGCAGTGTGCAGAGTTGGTATCTGTACAGTAGAGGTACAGTAAAGGCAGTGAACAGAGCTAGGTGTGTACAGTAGAGGGGTAGTGTACAGAGCTAGTAGGCAGAGCAGTGTATAGTGGAGTGAGAGCTACAGCAGGTGTAATGTACAATACTGCAGGTGTAACAGTGAAGGGTGTACAGTATGGAGGTACAACAGTAGGGGTGTATGTACTGGAGGTGTACAATATGAAGTACTGAGGTGTAAATAAGTGTAGGGTGTACAGTACTGCAGGTGTACAAATGTAGGGTGTACAGTACTGAGGTACAGGATAACAGTGTAGGGGTGTACATGGGAGGTGTATAATACAGTACTGAGGTGTACAACAGTGTAGGGTGTACAGTACTGCAGGTGTACAACAGTGTAGGGTGTACTGTACAGTACTGGAGGTGTACAACAGTGTAGGGGTGTACAGTACTGGAGGTGTACAGTGTACAGTACTGGTGGTGTACGACAGTGTAGGGTGTACAGTACTGCAGGTGTACAACAGTGTAGGGTGTACAGTACTGGAGGTGTACAACAGTGTAGGTGTACAGTACTGGTGGTGTACGACAGTGTAGGGTGTACAGTACTGGTGGTGTACGACAGTGTAGGGTGTACAGTACTGGTGGTGTACGACAGTGTAGGGTGTACAGTACTGGAGGTGTACAACAGTGTAGGGTGTACAGTACTGGTGGTGTACGACAGTGTAGTGTACAGTACTGGTGGTGTACGACAGTGTAGGGCAGTACTGGAGGTGTACAACAGTGTAGGGTGTACAGTACTGCAGGTGTACAACAGTGTAGGGTGTACAGTACTGGAGGTGTACAAATAGGTGTACAGTACTGCAGGTGTACAACAGTGAAGAGGTACAGTACTGCAGGCAACAGTGAAGGGTGTAAACTGCAGTGTACAACAGTGAAGAGTGCAGAATTGGGAGGTGTACAACAGTGTAGGGTGTACAGTACTGCAGGTTGTACAACAGTGAAGGTGTACAGTACTGCAGGTGTACAACAGTGAAGAGTGTACAGTACTGCAGGTTGTACAACAGTGAAGGGGTGTACAGTACTGCAGGTGTACAACAGTGAAGAGTGTGTACAGTACTGAGGTGTCAGGTGCAGTACTGCAGGTACAACAGTGTAGGGTGTACAGTACTGTAAACAGTGTAGGGTGTACAGTACTGCAGGTTGTACAACAGTAGTACTGCAGGTTGTACAACAGTGAAGAGTGTACAGTACTGAGGTGTACAGTGTAGGGTGTACAGTACTGGCAGTGTACAACAGTGTAGGGTGTACAGTACTGCAGGTGTACAGTAAGGGGTATGTACTGCAGGTTGGTACAACAGTGAAGGGTGTACAGTACTGCAGGTTGTACAACAGTGATAGAGCAGTACTGGAGGTGTACAACAGTGAAGGGTGTACAGTACTGAGGTAACAGTGGGGTATGCACTGCAGGTGTGCAACAGTGAAGAGTGTACAGTACTGCAGGTGTACAACAGTGTAGGGTGCAGTACTGCAGGTGTAAACAGTGAAGGGTGTACAGTACTGCAGGTGTACACAGTGAAGGGTACAGTACTGCAGGTACAACAGTGAAGGGTGTACAGTACTGCAGGTGTACAACAGGGTGTACGGTACTGCAGTAACAGTGAAGGGTGTACAGTACTGGAGGTGTAATAACAGTGTGGTGTACAGTACTGCAGGTGTACAACAGTGAAGAGGTACAGTACTGCAGGTGTACAACAGTGTAGGGTGTACGGTACTGCAGGTGTACAACAGTGAAGGGTGTACAGTACTGCAGGTGTACAACAGTGTACGGTACTGCAGGTGTACAACAGTGAAGGGTGTACAGTACTGAGGTGTACAACAGTGTAGGGTGTGTACTGCAGGTGTAGCAACAGTGAAGAGGTGTACAGTACTGCAGGTGTACAACAGTGTAGGGTGTACGGTACTGCAGGTGTACAACAGTGAAGGGTGTACAGTAAGGTACAACAGGGTACTGCAGGAGTACAACAGTGAAGGTGTACTGTCTTCCGCCAGACACTCTATGGCAAACACGATGGTGGTCCGTCCGGTCCGTCCGTCTGTCTGTCTGTCTGTCTGTCTGTCTGTCTGTTGTCTGTCTGGTCTTTTTCCTGTCCAGGACTCTGTGAAGAGAGATGGAAACCATTGTTGGTCTCTCTCTCTCTCTCTCTCTCGCCATTTGACCTTTCGAGGATATTTTTGCCCGCTGAGTTAATTCGCCTCACGACCTTTCACCTTTCACCACCTGACCTGACCTGTTAGTGGCCGCCGTAGCCTCCCAGTCCCTCGACCTTTAACAGCGTCATCTTGTGGCCATTAATGCCCTTTGACCTTTTAAAACAAACCTGGGAACTTTTGGACATTTTTAATCGTTGGCCTTTTGGCATTTTGAGTGTGTGTGTGTGGCCTTTGAGTGTGTGTGTGTGTGTGGCCTTGAGTGTGTGTGTGGCCTTTTGGACCTTTTGAGGTGTGTGTGGCCTTGGACCTTTGAGTGTGTGTGTGTGTGTGTGTGTGTGCCTTTTGGCCTTGGATTGTGTGTGTGACCTTTTAGTGTGTGTGTGTGGCCTTTTGGACCTTTTTGAGGTGTGTGTGTGGCCTTTGACCTTGAGTGTGTGTGTCTTTTGAACCTTTTGAGGTGTGTGTGTGGCCTTTGACCTTTTGAGTGTGTGTTTTTTTGGACCTTGAGTGTGTGTGTGGCCTTGAACCTTTTGAGTGTGTGTGTGTGTGTGGCCTTTTTGACCTTGAGTGTGTGTGTGTGGCCTTGGACCTTTTGAGGTGTGTGTGTGTGGCCTTTGAACCTTTTGAGTGTGTGTGTGTGTGTGGCCTTTGGACCTTTGTGTGTGTGTGTGTGGCCTTTGGACCTTTTGAGGTGTGTGTGGCCTTTGAACCTTTTTGAGTGTGTGTGTGTGTGTGTGGCCTTTTGTGTGTGTGTGTGGCCTTGGGTGTGTGTGTGTGCCTTGGACCTTTGAGGTGTGTGTGGCCTTGAACCTTTGAGTGTGTGTGTGTGGCCTTGAACCTTTTGAGTGTGTGTGGTTTTTGGACCTTGGTGTGGTGGCCTTTTGCTTGAGTGTGTGTGTGGTTTGTGAGTGTGTGTGGCCTTTGGACCTTTTGGCAGTGTGTGTGTGGCCTTTTATGGACCTTTTGAGTGTGTGTGTGGCCTTTTGGACCTTTTGAGTGTGTGTGTGTGGCCTTTTGGACCTTTTGAGTGTGTGTGTGGTCTTTTGAACCTTTTGAGTGTGTGTGTGTGTGACCTTTCAGACCTTTTTGAGTGTGTGTGTGTGACCTTTTGGACCTTTTGAGTGTGTGTGTGTGGCCTTTTTGAACCTTTTGAGTGTGTGTGTGTGTGTGTGGCCTTTGGACCTTTTTAGTGTGTGTGTGTGGCCTTTTGAACCTTTGAGTGTGTGTGTGTGTGGCCTTTTTGAACCTTTTGAGTGTGTGTGTGGCCTTTTTGGACCTTTTGAATGTGTGTGTGTGTGGCCTTTTGAACCTTTTGAGTGTGTGTGTGACCTTTTGAACCTTTTGAGTGTGTGTGTGACCTTTTTAGACTTGTGGTTGTATGACCTTTTGGGACTTTTTGACGTCTAAATCGTGACCTTTGGCAGCGACCTTTTGACCTTATGGCATGTATATTTAAGGTTCCTTTCTTCTTTATTACGAGGCTTATGACCTTTTGACCTTTCAGTCCCCCTGTTGTGGTCCCTTCACCCATATGACCTTTCACCTATGGAACCTTTCCCCATGTGTGTGACTCACTCGTCCACGCAATGACTTCCGTAAGCTTGATGGTGGTTGACTTGTGGTTGGTTCATTAAGTGCTTCATTTGGGTAGGGGTAATAAGTGTGCTTCATTTAGGTGTTATTAAGTCTGTGTTGTTGACTTTGTGATGCTCTGTTGGTGCTTCATATCTGTTTATTGTTACTGTTGGTGCTTCATATCTGTTTATTGTTACTGTTGGTGCTTCATATGTGTTTATTGTCACTGTTGGTGCTTCATATCTGTTTATTGTTACTGTTGGTGCTTCATATCTGTTTATTGTTACTGTTGGTGCTTCATATGTGTTTATTGTCACTGTTGGTGCTTCATATGTTACTGTTGGTGCTTCATATCTGTTTATTGTTACTGTTGGTGCTTCATATCTGTTTATTGTTACTGTTGGTGCTTCATATCTGGTTATTGTTACTGTTGGTGCTTCATATCTGTTTATTGTTACTGTTGGTGCTTCATATGTGTTTATTGTTACTGTTGGTGCTTCATATGTGTTTATTGTTACTGTTGGTGCTTCATATGTGTTTATTCACTGTTGGTGCTTCATATGTGTTTATTGTTACTGTTGGTGCTTCATATCTGTTTATTGTTACTGTTGGTGCTTCATATGTGTTTATTGTTACTGTTGGTGCTTCATATCTGTTTATTGTTACTGTTGGTGCTTCATATGTGTTTATTGTTACTGTTGGTGCTTCATATGTGTTTATTGTCATGTTGGTGCCATATGTGTTTATTGTTACTGTTGGTGCTTCATATGTGTTTATTGTTACTGTTGGTGCTTCATATGTGTTTATTGTTACTGTTGGTGCTTCATATGTGTTTATTGTTACTGTTGGTGCTTCATATGTGTTTATTGTTACTGTTGGTGCTTCATATGTGTTTATTAGTTACTGTTGGTGCTCATATGTGTTTATTGTTACTGTTGGGCTTCATATGTGTTTATTGTTACTGTTGGTGCTTCATATCTGTTTATTGTTACTGTTGGTGCTTCATATGTGTTTATTGTTACTGGGTGCTCATATGTGTTTATTGTTACTGTTGGTGCTTCATATGTGTTTATTGTTACTGTTGGTGCTTCATATGTGTTTATTGTTACTGTTGGTGCTTCAATGTGTTTATTGTTACTGTTGGTGCTTCATATCTGTTTAATTGTTACTGTTGGTGCTTCATATCTGTTTATTGTTACTGTTGGTGCTTCATATGTGTTTATTGTCACTGTTGGTGCTTCATATCTGGTTATTGTTACTGTTGGTGCTTCATATGTGTTTATTGTTACTGTTGGTGCTTCATACTGTTTATTGTTACTGTTGGTGCCTATGTGTTTATTGTTACTGTTGGTGCTTCATATGTGTTTATTGTTACTGTTGGTGCTCATATGCTTATTGTTACTGTTGGGCTCCTATGTGTTTATTGTTACTGTTGGTGCTTCATATGTGTTTATTGTTACTGTTGGTGCTTCATATCTGTTTATTGTTACTGTTGGTGCTTCATATGTGTTTATTGTTACTGGTGCTATGTGTTTATTGTTACTGTTGGTGCTTCATATGTGGTTATTGTTACTGTTGGTGCTTCATATGTGTTTATTGTTACTGTTGGTGCTTCATATATGTGTTTATTGTTACTGTTGGTGCTTCATATGTGTTTATTTGTTACTGTTGGTGCTTCCATGTGTGTTTATTGTTACTGTTGGTGCTTCATGTGTTTATTGTTACTGTTGGTGCTTCATATGTGTTTATTGTTACTGTTGGTGCTTCCATATGTTTATTGTTACTGTTGGTGCTTCTTGTGTTTATTGTTACTGTTGGTGTTCAATGTGTTTATTGTTACTGTTGGTGCTTCATATGTGTTTATTGTTACTGTTGGTGCTTCATATGTGTTTATTGTCACTGTTGGTGCTTCATATCTGTTTATTGTTACTGTTGGTGCTTCATATGTGTTTATTGTTACTGTTGGTGCTTCATATCTCTTTATTATTTACTGTTGGTGCTTCATATGTGTTTATTGTTACTGTTGGTGCTTCATATGTGTTTATTGTTACTGTTGGTGCTTCATATCTGTTTATTGTTACTGTTGGTGCTTCATATCTGTTTATTGTTACTGTTGGTGCTTCATATCTGTTTATTGTTACTGTTGGTGCTTCTTATCTGGTTATTGTTACTGTTGGTGCTTCATATGTGTTTATTGTTACTGTTGGTGCTTCATATCTGTTTATTGTTACTGTTGGTGCTTCATATCTGTTTATTACTGTTGGTGCTTCATATCTGGTTATTGTTACTGTTGGTGCTTCATATGTGTTTA